TGAGGAACCCTTTGAAGTAGTGAAATAGTTCAATTATATGTTTCAAAGTTGATTTATCGTTCACATTTGGAAAACTTTCTCTGACTATTCCAACCCTCTTTGATAGCTTTCTTCTCTGACATATTAGAGTAGGCAATAATCAAAACACTTGACTTATCACTTGATTATATAAATATGAAGTCTCGTATTACCCTTGGATTGCTAGTTCTCTGGAATTAGATCTTAGACTCCTTAAAAGAAGACCACTGAAAATCTTTTTTATTTCCCTCCAATACAATGAATTTCAGAGCTGGAAGGAAATTTAGCAGTCACTGGATTTATCCTGTCTATTATTGATAGAATCCAAACCAGGGAATTTTAGAGACTTGCCCAAGACCACACAGCTTATTAGTGGCAGAGTATGCAATCAATCATATTCAATAAATGTTGCTTTACCAATATATTCATTAGCAGCTGCTCTTTTTTCAGCTGGCTGTAATAGTAAGAATATTTCTGACTTTGAAATCACATTCCAGATTCAAGTGAATCAGACCCTGGAATATATTGTGCTTGCTATAAAAGTCCTCAGACTGTAGGTGGGTAAAGATCTTGGTGAGAAAGTCATTTTTCATCATAGACACTGCATTTCCCAAGACCTTAATGTGTGCTCTCTGCCCCTAAATAAAATGTCTGGGATGGATGTGGGAGGTGCTCTGACAAACCACAGCATCGGCTGAATGTAGCGTAGATGAAGCCAGTCTCTCTGGCTGAGGGACAGACACCGGGTGTCAGGGGAAATGAGTAAGGGCATGACAAAAGGCTCGTTTTCTCTATCCTTAGATGTCATCAGTTGGATTTAATAATACCTTATCATGAAAAAGAGAAAACAATGACTATTTCAGTTGAAGACATAATTCTGTTTTAGAAAACTTAAAATGTAAAAAGGAAAATGATGTTCATTTTAAGATCAAAGATATAGATCACACATGAGTATCAAGGATAAGGCATTTTCTTGTCAAAGGTTTTCAAATTACCTCATTTGAATTCAGGAATTAAAGCCAGTTGTGCTACTGGTGCCGTCATTAAAAGGCAAGGGAATGTCTATTTAGAGACTACTGAGTTTATGGTTAAATGTCCACAGACAGGAAGCTGAGCTGCAGTACTGACTGTAACTCCTGATTTACTGCCTGTGTGGGCAGAGACTCATTTACACAACCCTTTTCCCACGCAGTGCAGACTTTAGATCCTGACTGAAATGATCAAGCACATGTTGGTTAATTAACTTTATGTGCTACTGCAGAAGAGACTGATAAATCAATCTACCTGCCATTACACTCACCTTCAGGCTGAATTCTTTGTGTTTCATTGCTCTCATGATGCCTGATTTCTGCATTCCCTAATTAATTGACATAGAAGTGTTGCTCAACATGGTAACCACATGGATTATTACTAATCCATCGGACACCAGAAAGATAAAACACATTAACCTCAGGATTACTAAGAGAAGGTCAAAGGTGGGATACCTTCTCATCAAAGTTCATTTGGTTTAAAGGACTTTTGAAGTCAGAGAGGCGTATATGTGGATCTTGATTCTATAACTTCCAAACCATTTAATTTTGGATAAGTTACCTGGTTTCTGTTTTCTCATCTCTAAAATGAGGTAATAAAATTAAATGGATCATCTATCCCTCCCTATTATTCTATGACTGTGGATGGCTCTAGTCCATTCATTCTTCCATCTCTGAAATGACTTTCACATTTCTCTCTTCCAAATTCCAACATCTCATCCCTAATGTTCCCATCTTTTCTCACTCAAGTGACAGACTTGTTTCTATTGTCACTAAGAAAATAAAAGCAAACAAAATAAAAGATCCATACCCTATTGGCACCAGCTCTATCATTTTTTCATGTCAACCTCCTAAGGATAAACCATCTCACTCAAATCTAAGGTCAACCATTTCTCTTGTGCACTGTATCCCACCATGTCTCCTCACTCAAAGACATCGTTCACCACCACCCTATCTTATCCATCATCAGATTAAAAGCATTCTGAAATAATTCTACTATATTTGAACAAATCAGAACATAGAACTTCCTAAGATACTAAATCATCCTCCAGCTACTGACTGTTTTCACTAATCTCCTTCATGGAAAAATGCCTCAAATAAATTATCCCAGCTTGCAATCTGTACTCATCCCTTCTCCAACCATTCTTTCTCAAAAATTTCTCATGTTTTCATGTTCAGCACTTCACTGAATCTATACTGTTAATGTCCTGCAAAGATACTCCCTTTTCCAGATATCATGGCCAATTCTTAAAGCTCACATTGTCTGACATTATGACCAGGGTTAATTTGATACTATCTGTCATTCTGTTTTCTTTGAATTATTTTCTTCCCTTAGGTTCTAAAATACTCTTCTATGGGTCTTCTCCTTCCTCACTGGGCTCTCCTTCAGTTCCTTTGCTCCTCTTCATTAATCTTCTTGTTCTCTAAATATCAAAGTATTCCAGGATGCATAGAAGCTAATCATTTTTGTGACATCTGCCATTTTCAAGAACATGATATTAGTTTTTCACTTTAGGTGTTCCTATCTTGCCTCTGCTCTTTTAAGGCTAATTGGAGAAATCAAGGCTTTTTGAACTCACATTCAGGACTTACTTTTACAGTTAGGTACTTCTTTTAAACTAGCCATTTAAATAAGAAATATCACACTGGCTTCCAAATAAACTCTCTGGCTCCAGAAGTAGGTAGGCCTGACACAATTTCCAGCCACATCTCAATGGACAGAGAAAATGCTGCAGGCTTTTTGGCATCATACTTCAGGGAGCTGACACCAAAAGTAGATTTGCTTTGCCATCCCATATCCCTTCCCTTCTCATCCTCACTGATCACCATAAGTAGTTTTATCTCTATGGACGTAAGGGGTAACTCTCTTTTGCCTCCCCTGCATCCCATAAAGCCTCAGTGACGATGGAAAGACTGTGGAGATCAGAGAAAGGCAGACTGAACTTTGAACTCTGGTCTGGATTCACATAAGCTGTGCGACTATGAGCCAGATACTTACCAGATACTTGCTGGCCATGATGGAGCTTTTCTAGAGAATCCCCACTGTATGACTCTGTAAAGTGGAAAGTGGAAAGTTGGTTTCATACAACTACATCCAACTTCAGGTGTGCAAAGAAGCACCAGGAGAATGGGGATAACAATATTGCCAATTATTTATTGTAAAGTAGATGTGAAATTTAATGGATTAAAGTACTAGTTAAACTTGATGAATTAAAGTACTCGACATCTTCAGTTGATGAGTATGTAGGTAGACAATTTGAATGGAACTCTTCTTGTCCTAGCTAGACTCCCATAAGTCTTCAGGGTGACAAGGTGGCCAAAGGCTAGGATCTCCATAGACTGATGCAGTTTTGATTAGACCAGGTGCCCCACATAATCCTTAAGGCCATGTTAGGTTTGTATATGTAGTGATTTGGCAGGTTTCCCAGCAGGGACTGAAGTGTACAACACACACTGAAGCTTGCATTTAGAACTGACTTAAAATTACTCTCACTGCTTTTTATTGATCAAATTCCCAAAATCAACAAGAGACAAGGAGTGGAAAACAAGCTCCACCTTGATGGGAGTAGATACAAAGTCACCTTTCAAAGTGTTCTGAATAAGAGGAAGAGGGAGGAATTTGTGGCCTTTTTGAAGTCCACTCCAAGCACTAATGACAACATCTTCCACATCTTTTGATGAAGGTAGACAATTAAGGTAGAAGTGGCAGATCTTGGCAAGGCCACACTGACTTATCCTATGTGTTATGTAGGGAAACCCAACAACATTTGGGGAGACCCTTATTAGAATAGAGCACTGAGCATGTTTTAGCCTGAAGATTTGGGTCATAGATATTCATTCCAGATAATAGGAAAGGCATCTATGAATATTCAGGTATAAAAGGGAGCCATCTTGAAACTGAAGTGACTCATTAAAGATCGGGCAGCAAGTGGTTCAGTTCTTTCATCTGTACAGAGGGAAAGTTGAATATTAAATGCTGGCAATTGAAAAAACCTAGTAAATATGCGAGACTTTGAGAAAGTCACAACAGTTAAGACAGACAGAGCAAAGCAGATATCATCAGACTCCAGAACTTACCACTCCCTGGAGCCAATATTGAGATGCACTTCCTTATGAAAAAATACATTTCTTAAAAGACTCCAAACAAGAGACTCTCATAGTAACATCTAGATTTCCCAAAGATCCCTCTAGCATCAGTCACATTGGACAAAAGTGCAGACAGCATTCAAAACTAGACCTTCAGAAGCTAGTACTTTGCTAAACCCATTTTTGTGTCTCTTCCTAAGTCTCAAAAGTAAAGGAGAAATGTCCTAGTCTTCCATCTTCCATGGACAAAAATAAGAAAGAGGTCCAGAAGAAGAACAAAGAAAGCCAAATATGTAATTTAAATGTCTGTCCAACACATTGTTTGTTCATGTGCATCAGACCCAAGTAAACTTGAGAGTTTCTGGTTTGTGTCCTCTGAATAATTTAGCTAGACTGATGTCAACTCAGACAGTAGCCTTTTCTGCTTAGATGTGTACAGAGACAAGTGGCTGCTAAGTGGTCATAAGAGAGAAAAGTCAGTGCTACATACCAAGCCTTTCAACTCATGAGTGCATACTTCATTTCCTATTACTCAAATTCAAAAGATCAAAAACTCAATATAAGATGTTTTGATTTCACATTGTTGGAATATTAAAGATTCAGGGAAAGAAGAATAAAGACAAAAGCAAAAGCAGTGGTGCCCTTTCTGCTATTCTGGCTTGGTGGGAGCAGGGGTCGTGGGGTGCTGCTGAATTTCATCTTAACTAAGCACTGACATTTCCCCCACCCACACAGAGACACACAGGAGCTTGCTTGGAAGCTGAGGGTATCACTGGGAACTGTGCAGTGCATGGAGTAGACCTCACCCCCACAGCATGAGTCTGCATGATCCATCGTAAGAGAGACTGTTCTGTCATTGCATTGCAGCTCCAGAAACTAAAACGATCACTTTCTTTCAAGACCAAGAGTTTACGGAGCAAAAGTGCTGACAACTTCTTCCAGCGAACCAACAGTGATGTGAAGCTACCAGCGGACATGCTGGCACAAGTCAGCCCCAGCTCCAGCCCACTGCCTTCACCTGGAAGCCCGACATCCACACCCACCAGAGCTGGCCTGCAACCCAACAGTGGCAAGGCGCATGCCTTTCAGGAGCACATCTTCAAGAAGCCCACTTTCTGTGATGTCTGCAACCACATGATAGTGGGTAAGGCCTTCTCCTGCCCATTCCTCCAGGTTAGGCACCCATGAAAGACTGAGTAACAGTGGTGTACATAGGTCCAGGTAACCTCAGACACATGGACTCTTGAGAGATTTGCATATAGAATTGTTCAGGAGTGCTTTGGGGAACAATATTTGTAGAAAGGTAAGAGAAGCAGTGGGCAGAGGGACAAGTTGAGTTGTGACATAGCTACAACAAAGAATTCAGCAAATTCCCTAGGAAGTCCCAAAGCCCTTTAGAGTTACCTTACACTAGGTTTCCATGTGTCATCCTGTCATTACACATGAGTTTTGGAATGTTTGTTGTTTCCTAAGGAGGCCACTGTCTAAACCAGTGAAATTGGGCATGTCAGTCACTTCCAGGATGGTCAAAAGAATAGAAGCCTGCAATTCGCTTCCCTTTTTACAATGGCCCAGTTAAGAGACATGATGTGCAAATGCAGAGCAATATCCATCCATATTAAAACCACAGATACAAGTCCTGTTCTTATTTTCAGGAAAGTATTATATACCTATACTCTCATTTTCCACTCACTATTATACATGTTCTTCCTTCCAACAGATATATTTAGAAATAACATTGGTGCCAGTCAATGATTTGCTTAACAATTTGCTTAGGCAAAGTTTACCTAAAACTCCAGTACTTAAAAAGTAGCCATGGTTTGCTGTGGTTCAGCTGATCCATATGCCACTCCATTATTTTTCTCTTATGCTTTCTGCGAACCAGTGCCCCAGATATGTTACGTTCTTTTCTTGGCAAGGACAAGTGGAAACACACAAAGCTTCTGAGGGACTAAGGTTGGAGGTAGTACACTGCAACCTTTCCTGGCATTCCATGAATTCAGTAATTTAAATGAGTGACAGTCAAGGAATGGAGGTATCTACTCTTACTCTAGGAGTAGGTTCTACACACCATCTGCATAAGGGAATGGGTATAGGAGAGGAGAAGCATGGGGCCAGTTATCCAGTCTACTGCTTAGATCTCTCTGGATTGCTGATCCTTTTCTGACTGATAGATTCTGCTAAGTTTTGAAGCTCCTACCACCCTGCTCCACTTCTTTACCTGGCATCTAAATGTCAGCATGATGGGCTGCCAGTGCTCTCATCATGTTCTCTGTTCAGAATGCTTAGACAATCCACCTTCCAGCTTAGTTTTTGTGAATGCTTAGCTGCCACGTCCGATGCAGCTCTTGAAGTTCCTTGGAGGAAGGATGGAGAAATAAAGATAAGAATCAGAATACAGAAAGCTGAGGTCAAGTGGAACCCTCTCTCTGGAGGAGAGGAAAGAAAGTACTCAACTACTGAAGCACATTTATTTATGCATTCAGCAGGTTGATGTCACATGATACCCCTCTGCCTAGCAACCTGTCTGCATGGCAGCCTCAGGGCACCACGTGTTCCAGGAGAACCTGGAGTATCTCATTCATTTGGCTTGTTTCAGGTACTCTTTGTTGTCTAGAACAGCCTTGCTCCAGCGGCATAAGTGTGATTGCTCTTCAGTTTCAGCTGCTCTCCACACCACCTCCTAAATCTGATGCATCACTTTAATTTTCACATGAATTTCCACCAGTCTTTTTCAAGGTAGCACTATTCATAACCCTTAAATAGGTGGTGATGAGGTTCTATTTTTAAATCTCATTGTAATGAGTGTGAAAGAGAAAAACAGAGCATGTGTTCTTAAAAATGAGTAATGGAAATGAGTTCACTTTTAAGGAATGTTACAGTCATTACCCTAAAGAGTATTCTAGGTACAACTCAAGTACAACAACAATTTAGAGAGTCTATTCTTGACATATTTTAAAAGGCCTGTGCTAAAGGGAATTGCACTGTACTTTCTCTTATCATAATCAGATGTATATGGTAACTTCATTTTCATTTTGAAAAGACAGGAAAAGGTAGTCAAAAAATCATGTCGCTCTTTTCAAGGGCTAACTAAATAAACCAAATCTTCTAAGAAAGCAAAAGGGGTCTTTAAAGGATAATTTAAATCAAGATAGAAAATGAGTAAGAAAAAAGCTAGAGATGAGGAAAGAAAAGTAGCAAAAATGAAGTACAGACTAATAACCTGTGCTATCTTTCTGAAGCAGTACGTAGGGCTTTTGATTTATCTAACAATGGAACACAGTTGATCAGCCCTGCCTCTCCTTTCATACTCAGCTCTGGCCTTCTGTCTCCATGTAAACATTAGGGAAGACCACTTACTGTTCTCACCTTAGAATGACATTTCAGAGCTTATGTTAAGATTATTCTTATTCCTTTTAATGGATAACTAAAGTTTATATAATGGTGGCTAAGAAAAATCATATCTTATTTCTAGCTGATGCATACTTCTTTAAAAAATAAAAAGACTTCTAAGATTTCTAAGATGAAACGGATACTCACATGTGGTGTTACAGTGCTTCCCATTTGTGCCTTGATGATCCTGCGCCTTATATCTGAAAAGGCCAAACATTGACAATACTAGTGATACCAATAAAAACAGAATAGAATCCAACTTCATCTACTGCTCATACATCTCTGATTTTCCTAGCTCCCTATTACCATCTTTAGCCTTATCCTTGGGCTTCATACCTAAAATTTCTCCTCCCCTACCAAACTGATTACCAACCCTTTAGGTTAAGCATATGTGGGGCACGCCTTCTGGTTACTCTAATCTTATTTCCAGGACCTTGCAAGCCCTTATGATTACCTCCTTAGGCCAGCTTCTTCTGGAAGAATAGGGAATCTAAGCAAGCCAAAAATACCCAATTCAACCTTTCATCGAGGCATGAGAAAAAACATATATGCCTATCAGCTCCAGGGCTGCATATTCCCACCTTTGAGTAATCTTAGAGTAGAAAAATACTGTACCACCCCTTACATTTGAGTGTATCATATTTATTCACCAAGAAGATTGATACTTTCAGTGATAATCCTTGACAATGGGCATGAGGGATGGGGAAACTCATCTTTACCGTGTATCACTTCAACACACTCCATTTATGGCATTCCATTTTTAGATAGATAAAGTACATTGAATGAATCTATATGATAATCTTACTGAAATTTCAAAGACTTCAACATGTGCTAGTAGAACAAACTCTATGCATGGTCTCCTCCATCAATTTTCCTAAGAAACTCTACTTCTTAAATTATTGCCAAATAGCTTGTTTCTAAACTATCTATAAATTAACTAAATATCTTTATTTGGATCCCACTTAGAAGACAGAGCATAGTAAATAGAATCAGATTTTCCAACCAGATAACTAGCCAAATTATTGGATTTTATTTCTTAAGATTTCAAGTTATATAGCTGATACAAAAAAGAACCATTCGCTTCCATAAGTTTCCAACTAGAAATCACTAGGAAAGATAATATAATGCTATCTTAGGTAGGAGTCTCAAGAAACAAAAGTAGGATGAGTAAAAGAAACATTAAATTAAGACATGGTCTCAAATGAAGTCAGCTTCAGACTGACCCCCTGGAGTAGTATCACTAGAGACAAAGGACCAGCCTTGTAAATGCCTATCACCTAGTCACTGGCCACAGCTGTCCCCAGGAAGAAGTAAGCAAGCGGCATTTCAGCAAGATAGATCATATTTTGTTGAGGACAGTTCTCTGGGGCCAAAATGATGGGTGTGTCTGTGAGGAATTAGCAGCCAGTGCTTACACACTAGCATGTTAAACAAGATCTGGACAAGGCACTGAGAGTATCCATTATATCTGCAAGCAGTGTAAAAACACCCTTCACTAGGAATAAATTTAAAATGCAAATAGACCTGAACACTGATGTAACTACAACATTGCTTTGCCATCACAATGAATCATATAACATGAACAAATGCTATTTACACTGACACCCAGACACTTCTGTGGTGTTCTTGTCTGACTATTCATTTGCTTCCCAGCCTGCTCTGAAGCATCCCATTGTTCAAGTTATTAACCAGAACTTGAATGAAATATATACATGCATATACATATAAACATAAAAACATAGAATTGAAAAGAAAAAGTAGCATTTGTTTACCAATAAAGTTGTCTTCTTGGTGAAAAAAGCCAAGCAGAAATTGAAGGAAATATTGAAAAGCAAATGTCAGCTCTGGATTCTCAGGATAGAATTCAAACTCTAAGATCATTTAACTGGATAAGTATTTTAGGGATTGTATAGATTTTAAATACAAATTATGTCTAGCACCTTTTTAAAATTTTACAACTAGAATATGTCCTTTGTGCCATAGTACATTTCCATACTAAAATGCAATATCCAGAACTTGGTGGTTTATCCAATGTCACTATTAATCTCTGGTGCCCATAACTTAACTTCTGCTTTTCTAGTAGAGGACAGCAAGAAACACAGTGCAGTGCTCATGAAACAGAAGAAAATAGTCTCTTTCTGTTTTTTTTTTTTTTGGGGGGGGGGTCTTCCTCTACGCCACTAAGAAAATCATACTGATTCTGGGTGCAAAATTTTAAGTGAAAGTACATAAAACTGGAATGCAGTCACCATAAGGAGATGGTGGTCCCACCAGATAAGAAATGTTTTCAGGAAGTGAAAATATTCGGTCCAGAAAAGTTTTCAAGAGATCATGCATGGTTTTCAAATAGCTAAAGAATGCTCATCTGGCAGAATTTAAATTCACTTGGAGTCCCAAAGGGCCATGACAGATGACACAGTGAGGCAGAGTGCAGACACTAAAATAAGAGCTGCTTAAGTTAATTCCAGAAGTAGTTTTAACAGATTAGAGCAGAGAGTAAAATCCATGTTGAGAAAGTGCTATATATTATGTTCTCTTTGGACATTCATAGCACACATTAGCATTTTGAGATGTTGCCATCCTGAAAGCAACCAGGTTTTATCAGTGCAGAACAGTGGCAGCCACTTAAATGGATTATCACTGAGGAATTGTCTCCTAACACCTGTGTTTCCTAAATTCCACCTGGCTGTTATTGAGCACTCTTTTACACATATCTCTTTAATGTACACAATTTACAGAAACTTTTCAATG